TATGCACTTGGCTCTAGGCTAAGTGATCCCACACTACATCTTTACTTTAGGCTTATTATACCAATACTCACTAAATTTATGAGGTTTCACAGCACCTCACTCCACTCACAGCCCCTCCATTACTAAAATTGTAATGAGCAGACAGTAATCAAATTATTCTATCTGAATAAATGCATTTTGGCTTTTAACTCCTCTTATTTCGAGAAACCAAGCGTGACGTGACATGTCACACACTGGCTTTTATATACTTTAGATTTTGATATATATGGAATGTTGTAATATTACATTTATATCATTTTAGCATCTGTTATATTATTTGTATATTTAAATCATCATTTCCTGGAAAGTTTTACCCAAGTTCTGTTTCTTGTCACACATTCCTGTTGATTTCATTATTATCTATTATATCTTCCATACTGGATGTTACTGCAGCTACAACAAGAGCTGGGCAATTAGTAGTATTTGTTAATTGATTAATCAATAATCTAATTCATTGATTATATTCAATTAACTGATTAATACAGTGTTCCTCAAACAATGGTACATACAACAAAGCAAGATGCTAGAACAAAGTTGCCTTCCCTCTAGAAAACAATTCAAAATTAGTGAAAATGGCAGATAGCTTTAGTAACTATGCAATTGCATAGATAGGGTGAGCAATCTGTTGGAATACCTTATTCCAACTAGTTGATTATTTTTATGACAATAGATTTAATCATAATTTCAATTAATTGATCAGTTTGTATGACACTAATCAATGTAACAGCAGCTCATATGTAATCCATTAGATTACTCAGTTCTAGTTAGAATATAATTTTAATATAGTGTCATTAATTTCAGTTTAGAAATATAAATAACGTGTTAATGTTTGCAAATTATATAGCTTATTAAGTGTTTAGAAACATCCATTCACAACACATTTGGAACTTTGTAGTAGTATGCAGACTTTAGTTATTAATATTATTATTATCATTATGAGTGATGTTATGGAACTCTTTCTACTTTCATGTGTTAACTGGCTGCAATACAATTTCACATATTGCAGGCCACAGTAAAACATCATCCTGGTAAATATTCCAGAATCATCATGATTTAATCAAAATTGAGGAAATGGAGATTTTGATCACAAAGTAAAAGGATCATAAGAGTTTATCTGTAAAGCTTATTGTCTGACATGGTTAACAACAAAGATGATGCACACTGTATCTTAGTTACAAGGTGTCCAACTCCTAAAACCCTACCTGCGATCAGTAGTAGACTCCTCTGATATTATTGGGATTGCAAGCAAGCTGATAGAAATTGTTTATTATCAATGACAACAGGGGAAATATATTTAAATCTTGCTATAACTTAGTGTTATTCTGGTATAGAAATGTTGAAAATAAAAAAGATTTATGTATGTTAACTCACATACAACAAATGTATGCATGAAAATAAATGTCTTGTATTCATTATTTAAATAAAGGTTTAATTCATATAACATTGTACATTGTAATGTTTTAAGAAGACATTTTATTTTTCTGTATTAAGTGAGCCTCCTGATTTGTGTGCTATAAACTAGATCCAAATATTTGTTATGATTCACCAAAATTAATAGTGGGGCAACTACACCTCTTACACCCTCTAGTGTCTGCCACTTCCCACATCAAATGATGCCTGAGGTTACTCATTAAAATAGCTAACTTTATAGCAATGGCATGTAGACAGGCTGATTGATCATATCCAGTTCTGCAATCATCTAACACCATTGGTTGGAAGCATGAGGATGGGAAATTGATTCAAAGATTTGGAAGCTTACCAAAAGTAGCAGAAAACTATACTGAGTTCATATCAGGTGGTTGCACAACATTATACAAAACCCAGAAATGTAAGTACAGAAAGGTACTGGTTTTGTAAGTGCAAAAAAACTGGCAGAGAAGTGTATGAATGTAGATGATATTGTATGAAATAGTTTTTGTAGGAAAGAGACAAGAAATTCAACTTGAAAACAAACACTTTCAAAATTTACACACAGGTAGCAATTCTGAGCTGAACAAAGATTGTAGAAATTATAACTTGAAGAAAAAATAGAACTTTTACTGCTTAACTACAACTCTTAATTCTGCTACTCTGGGAGTTGTTAAGCAATTGGTGTAATCAGTAAGCTGATAAGTCATTGGTGCAGTCTCTCTCTTATTACCTCCTGTGGTGCTGTGTATATAGTCTGGTCTTGATTATAACAGTTTTAAAACTTTTAGTGTGCAGTAGTCTTATTCAAGGAAAATGAAACCATACTAATGCTATTCCACAAGTACAGGAAGGGAATTATTATGCTTGTGTTCTTTGTCAAAAGGGGAATAAAGTCCAACAATATTATTAAAATATATGTTTGGGTTAATCATGCCCTATTTATGTTAAAGAGATGCATTTTTCCAAATACTTTCAAAGTAGAAAATAATATCACAACTAGGTAACATCCATGGAAAATATGAATGTAAATAAAATAATAATAATAATTTTGGAGCTTTAAAAAATTAATTTACTGACCCTTA